GTGTGTTAGTATATATATATATATATATATATATATATATATATATATATGTTGTATGTTGTATGTTTATGTATGTATATGTATATGTATATAGCGTTGCTGGTGGTGCTTGTTATTGTTTGGTTTTTGTCTCCAGAATTTTCGTTAAAATTCCGCAAAGCTTAATAATTGAACGATGTAGTTATGCCTTCTAAAAGTTGCTTTTCGACCTGCATGGCTCGATAGAAGCTGCAAGATGTACGGTTGACGCATACAGGAGTATTTTGTGCAGTCGACACTATTTTTGCGTTTTGTGCAACTACTGTCTGTCCGTATGGCAGTTACTATCATGCAAATTTGTTAATCAAAGGTTATGTTTGTTGTTGTGGTCTCAATTTTATCAATATATATATATACATATTCCCCTATCTCTTCCCAGGCAGCAATCTTTGCCAGGCGGTCGCATGGGCAGGCAAGAGCGCAGTGTTACCATTGCACACTACAAAGACCCCGCACCGATTGCAGTTGTACACTTGGATGAAACAGAAGGGTCCGCCACGGATGCAGATGACTCTACTGATTCATCAGACACAGGCATTCATCAAGCACCTGACATCAAACAGTTTACTGTACTGACGGTGGCATGGCAGATTATAATGCTAGGTATATCCCTACACAGTCTTTATAACCTGCTTACGCCAATGCTCAAGCTGTGTTCTTTTCCTGTGTCTTGATTCTTATTTTACAGTTATGATCTATCGCCCTATCTACAAGTGTATATCTTGTAAACTCGCCAACACACATAATTCACCGGAGTTTTGTTCCATGTTACCCACCTCCTCTGTGCTGCGGCTCATTGTTGTTACAAAATGATTGATGCTCTCCGCAGTGCTCTACGCCGTATGGATAGACTATGAGGAGACCAATGATATGGGCATCTACCCCTACTTCCGCGATACCTCCATTATGGTTTTCTTCGGGTTCGGTTTTCTGGTAAGGCATAACGTATTACTTTACCTACTATATGACTTGCATGTTTGTGGCACTGCGTTCGCCCCCAGACAGCTCAGGTTCTTTCTCTGGCTGGTTTGTTTTGCCATATCAGGCATCTGTGACAGCTCAGGTGCTTACTCTGTTGTTTTACCGTAGTGGACATCTGTGCTGCAACAGAGGCGTCCAATACATGCGTGTGCTTAAATACATGAGCTAATGCACAGGTATTAAATACATGTGCGCACTAGTGACGTCCACTGATGTAAACTCCATTTCGGACAAAGCAGACACCTATGTATTCATGTTTGGGTTGGTGGTGTGGTGGTGTGGATGAATCCCAATCCTGAAGCCCTTCTCAATCCGTGGTTTAGCCTATTCCTATGCATATACATAGCTCTTACATATTGTGCCAAGCAAGCTACGGCAACAGTATCACAGTTCTACGCTTATATTTTAATGCATTTCTCTGCGATACCAACACCCGTCATCGATTCTACATTGCAGATGTCATTCCTCAGACACCACGGGTTTAGCTCAATTACTTGGACACTGTTGTTTTCGGTCATGGCCGCTGAGTGGGGCATCCTCCTCGAGCTTTTCTTCATTGAGGTATGTCGCTGGTACCTCTTTCTTGATTCTTGATTGTATATCACTGTTAGAGCTGTTCAGCGTCTAGAACTGTTCGGCGTCAAAAGCAAAGTGGGGCATGGTGGAACACTCGTGTATAGTTGTGACTGTGATATATACCAGTTTAGTCCAGCGATTATAGCACTCTGTATATGAAAGGTATTTCCAACGAGTGACTATTCATAGTTAGTTCTCAATGGTACCGCGCGCCATTTCACATGTTCGACCTAAATGGGAAGTGTCGTATGCACATGTTCACGAAATGAATATATGTTCCTGCACTCGATCGATTGGCTCAGTGCCTTGAGCATTGTATGTAAATAATATGAATCACCTCTTTGGTTCGAAATCAGATTGACAAATACGACGCTAGCTTCGATACCCGGAGAGGACTAGATATACATGTGATAATTGGGGGCCTGTTTGCGGCAGCCACTGTTATGATTTCGTTCGGTGCTGTTTTGGGAAAGGTATGCAATATAAATTGAATGAGAAGAACTTCTAACTTTTCAACACGTACACGCATATTTCGGACATATGTGCTCTCTTCTACGGACCGGCTGCCATGTCTTTTGGAAGTTATTCAGAACAATATTCTGCTTATACGTGTGTATAGCAACACAGAAAATTTTATTGGTGTTCTTTGCTTGTCCTCCTCATCCATATCACTCCTGCAACTATTGTAAACTGTCATGTAATGCGTTTGTGCAATTGTTCTATTTAGTAGTTACATGTGGCGAGCATATGTCGGCTCTCGGCACCGTTTGTGCACACCCAACTTTGTTTTCATTTCAGCCTCAGGCATCTCAATTTACATATTCACGTGCTCGTCAAGGTGTCCTGTAAAATGTACGTATACACAATTGTAAGACTATTCATTGAAAACCTAGGTTTTATCACACCTCAAATATGTTCGAGCTATCCATTTTCATGGATTTATCCATGTTTCCTTCTGATATCCGAACCCTCTTCTATACCTGATAGGTGACACCGTGCCAACTGGCTGTCCTGGCGATTGTCGAGCCATTCTTCTTTCATTTGAATATCTACATATGTGCTTTTAAGCTAGAAGCAGTGGACGTGGGTGGCGGCATGTACATACACATGTTTGGCGCAGTATTTGGGCTGGTTGTATGCTACTGGCTGAGGACCACAAAATCGGTAGGTTGTCCCATTTACGGTCTAAACTTCATTCGTAGTATGATTTTATATTCTCATTTTTTTTTCCGGTGGTGATGGGTAACGTGAATCCAGATTATTTGTTCAGGTGGTTATTTGTATACTGTGCATATGATGTGCCTTGCACGACTTACATGCTCATTTCAATACTATACATGCATTTATTAATCGCGTGATTGTATTGGCAGAGCATCACGTGCCTATATTATATATATATATATATATATATAATATGCTTCCTCGTGCAATGAAGTCGGCCATTTCCAACGGTTACTTTTGGTACTATTGGCTGCTCTTTTGATACTATTACTCTTAAGGGTACAAAAGTCGGTGCCTAAAACGTTTCTCCTCCTTTTACGATTCATCGTCGTATGAAACTCATTGAACTGTCTATTCAAATATACGCAGCACATGCACGAAGACGAGAGCAGTGTATATGTCAGCGATATGGTTTCGCTGGCTGGCACTTTGTTTTTGTGGATGCTGTGGCCATCCTTCAACGCATCGATTGCGTCCACTGAGGTGAGTCACAACCGAAGAATCAGAGCATTTGTTCACGTGTATGTTTCGGTTAAGGCGTTTCGCACGTGTGACAGAGTGCCATGTGTGTTAACAGTAGTTGAACCACGTGCGCACTGCAGTGTCTATGCCCTGAACCAAAAATGCTGGATGCATATATAGATGGGTATATACAGTATACAAGAACTACTGTTGCGTATATTTGTACTTATCATCACTCTCCCGCATATTCATCGAGTATATACCTATTCTTGTCACAGGAATTGAGAATGAGGACAGTCATCAATACTTTCCTATCTCTGTGTGGCAGTACTGTAGCAACCATCATGTGGAGTAGGATCCTCAGCCGTGGCAATCGCATCGATGTCGTGCATGTACAGAATAGGTATGTTCTTTCGCAGGTGTAACCATTTGTTGCGTTTTGTTGTAACTGTATGCATTTAACTGCAATTCCGCCTCACTTCAGTTGGTGTGATATACCCTGTAACCATACAGGCTTCCATACCGCTCACAATCTACAGATCGAGACCTCATTTATCGACACTATACACTATATTCTCTACACACAGCACTTCATTTATCAACACTATACACTACACTCACTACACACACCACTTCATTTATAGACCCTATACACTATACACTACACTCTCTACACACAGCACCCTAGCCGGGGGTGTGGCCATGGGCGTTATCGGCGATCTGGCCATCTATCCCGCCACCGCAATAGGCTGCGGCTTTGTCGCGGGCACTATGTCCACGGTCGGGTATGTGTACCTCACCCCACACCTGCACCATCGCTATGGTATCCAGGATGTGTGTGGTGTGGTTAATCTGCACGGCACACCTGGGCTCTGGGGTTCGCTGATTGCGGTGGTGGCGCTGATCCCGCTGTCTAGTGGTACGGATGGCGTCTATCCACATGATTCACAACAGCCTCTGTATCAGGTATGATGCTTGTTCAGGTGTATTGTTGATTATATTTAGTACCCGTTGTATGAGTCTGGGCATAGGCTATGGTTGTTGTTTAGATTGATGCACAAGGGACACTCCAGTACTGTCGTTCGCTGATTGCCATAGCGTGGGTAGTGCAGCTCTCTTGTGATACTGATCGCGTATGCCCACGTCAACCACACCAGTCGTTATATCAAGTTAAGTCTCTGTACACTTGAAATCCAGCAATTGTGTGAGAAGCCTTGAGCGTATCTCAGACGTGAAATTGGTCAGGATCTATTCTTGACGCGCCTTTAGATAGAATGTGCCGTAGCTGTTACAGTGGGCTCTGGTTTGATCACAATTATCAAGTATAGTACTTTGCATGCGAGTCCAAACAGCCCTGCAGCACATGCACATTCAAATGAACCGGAGATACACGTACATATATACACGTGTGCATGCAACCTATGCCCATATATATATATATATATATATATGTATATATATATATATATATATATAATATGTATGTATATGTATATATGTATATTTACATGATGTAAACACACACATATATATATGTATATTTATATATATGTATATTTACATTTACATTTACATTTAAATTTACATACATATATATACCTATTTATATATAATAGCTAATATGTATGTTTAATACTTATAACTGTTTTGTACATCGTATATATCCACATACATATATATATATATATATATATATATATATATATATATTTTATACTACACACCTGTCTGATTTCCTGTTTATATCTTTTCACTCTGAAAGCTGGCTGCCACGGCGGTGTCAATTGCAATGGGCATCGTCGGAGGATTGATCTGTGGAGTTCTTATGAACCGCTTCATTATCCACTGCTGCAAAGGTAATATTGTTCTTCTACCAAATCAACCAGTTTTCCGTTTGTGGTAAGTTGTATGTAACTAAAATAAGACCCGCAGCGGACACCGCAGGAGGTGTTTTTCGACCTCTACACAATTGTCAGTCGAGGGATTGCTGTGCTTGGTGGAAGCCATATGTTGCAACCCGCTGAAAGTATATATGTTTTATGGACTGTTCACTTTTCTGATTGTTTCTACTTTCCGCGCTCCGGCGTGACCTTGTTTGTCGCCAGTTTAGGCATGATCGTATCGTCCTCACTCTTCTCAATGTTGGCTCATGACAGTATCTGTAAATAGATATATAAGCTCCAGCCGTCACGCGCATTCTTATCTATTTACACAGACCCAATGCTTCTTGGTTAGACAGCCTCTTCTTTGGGGGTTGTGTGAAGTAGTGCGTGCGGTTTCCAACCCCCATATTAATGAATAGACAACTTTAAATACAACCGCTAAAGCTTATATCTATGTGTGTTCTTGCCTACTTGCACCAGACTCAGAGATGAAGAGCGAGCAAATGTTCCGCGACTGCAGCTACTGGCAGACGCCCCTGGGCTTCCCGCATGTCATCTCCACAGCAGAGCAACATGAGCACACCACCAACGAAACAAACCGACTGGCGGGTAGTACTACTGTGGGCAGCAAAGTAGGTCTCATGCCCACACAGACAGGGCCGGAGAAGATACAGAATAGTACCGCTGGCTTCACATCGAGCGACCATGTTGTGACTGTGTAGAGGTAAGGATGGCCGAAGTGCAAACCACAAGTTGTTTTGAGGGTGGTGAGGAGATCCGATATGACTAAAGTTGGAGGTTAAGTTGATTCGAGGATATACTCGCGAAGACAGGCTATATTAAGACAGGTCCACTTGCTATCGGGTCAAGTGTGTTTCTCCGCCGAAACAGTTACACTCTCCAATCACCTCGCAACGAGAAAATGACGAATCACTGCACTCGGCCTAGATGTTGGAACATGGGTGGCTCTGCACAATGGCGAATTCTGACGCTCATACACACATCTGGTTTGAAGTGAGATATGCTTGTGCACACACGGCGATATAGAAAAAACCCCTGGTTGACGCCCTTATCTGAGTGCTACGCCGCCAATCGGAAATATGCTACTAGTATTGTGCTCAACGACGTATCAACGCTCGCTTGAGTGCAGCTTTACCACTGCAGTCGCATTCTTATACTGCTGCGCAATGCAAACGCATTCTAGGCACAAGTCCCAAGATAGGGTATCCTTTCGGTCTTAGTGAAAGCATTGTTATTAGCACTACGCACTGGATGGTCGAGCCATATTACAGATAGTGAATAATACACTAAGTAGTCAGCATGATCGCAGATGTAAATGGAGACAGCGTGGACACACACCGTTACCGTTTCCATACCAATAAGTCTATACAACAGTTAGGCGGTGGACTGAAAGTCCAATATATCAGTCCAGAACCGTCGCAGACGATAGACGAGTCGTGTAAGGGGAGTAGGAAATGCAAATATGAGATCTGCAATAGTCACAAAATTCAATATAGCGATTTAGAATGATCTCAAATAAATGCACGATGACTTCCTAATGATAGATGGCGTGTTTCGAGTATATGGTAAAATATGAAATTTACTTTTACTTTTAATACTAAAATACATAGTACATCTCCATGTGACGGTACGCTTGAGCTCTGAGACTCTGTCTATGACAATGTCGGAGGGCGTTGGTTGGGGCAAACAGTCGATCATGAAGATAGTTAATAGTAATATATTCAATAGTACAATATAGTGCATCAATAATACTATATAGTACATCATTGCACGAGTATGCAAGAATATTGGCTCTATATATATATATATATATTTATGTGTGTGTGTGTGTGTGTGT